AGATAGCCCATTGTGTAGCTTGTGCTTAGTTGCAAACAAACTAACTCCTTCTAAAGCAAATGTTAAAAGAAATATTTGATTTCCAGTTTATTTATTCTTGTCAGTATTGGTTCAATAATTCAAGTTTTTCAGTACTGTCGATATATGAACAAGACAGAAATTCATTGTATCTACTTAGTTACCTTTCTCAATGTTTTGATAATTGCAACGTCCGCGCTATTTGTGTCAATAACCAACGGTGTGTGTCTTGGATTGGTATAAAAATATATTTAAATTTTGTAATTTTCTCACTTTTTTCCAAAACTATCAACGTAAATTATTTTCTATGGGCATTTAAAATATCCTAGCAACAAAACGGAATATAATATTTGTCAATACTTCGTACTGCGTGAGAATAACAAACCAAATTTGTGATATCACATCAAGAATCCGCAGTCACAGAACTAATAACCTCTTAGTTTGTTTTCAAATACCCTGATAACAGTAGTAATAAGAAGAAAATCTACGAAAGAACTCGTTAGTTTAGAAAGATGTAGGCTTCTGTAAAAGAAAATTGCTCTTACAACGTCAGGAAGTATTTTTCGTTTTGGAATATTCTTCACTGAACACTGAATGACCATTACGATAGCACTCGTGACTGAATACTTTATATGGTTTTTTTACTTCTGTAAACAGTCATATACGTCAAATATTTAATATTTTTCAGCAGTTATGTCCGGAATTTCAAGCTCTTGAATGTATTCATAATTACTCGTCATCCGGATTACTTATTTGTTTTTATGATTTAACAATTTAAAGCTTCCACCCATTTGCATTATTATGAAGATTGTCTCTGCTACATTTGGGAAGAATAGAATAGCTAACGACATTCTTTTAGCTGAAAATGTTTTAATTAACAATTAACCTCAAAATAACCCAAACAGAGAAAAACAAGATAAAAATGAAGATACAGTTGGGCATTATTAGTTCAGGCCGCACATATATGTGTGTGTGTATATATATATATATATATATATATATGTGTGTGTGTGTGTGTGTAACCCGATCTAATGCCTAAAACAAAAACAATTTATTTACAATGGAGTGTGGAACCGTCACGCATATAAAGTTTTGAATAACAAGAAATGTTTATAAGACATCAAAACGGTCTAAATAGAATATCTAGAAATCCATACAGTAATAAATATTGTCGCTCTGTCCACCACATATATCGAATCCCGTGTTTTAGCGTTCTAAGTCCAACTTACCGCTGACCCACTGTGAAACAGTAAGAAAGGTTTTTGCACTTACACTGACTATTAACTTTACACGGCACAAACTTACACAATAAACGCTTACACTGTCTGAACAATAACATTTCAGAACTTTAACAGTCAACTCTACTGCAGCAAGAATATTGTTGTTAGCTGAAAATGAATTCCAACTTCAAATAATATAATCAAATAAAATAACTAGCGATTTTAAATATTTGTATTTGTATATATCA